CTTGCGAAAATAATCTTACCAAAAATGAAAGACATCCAATTGAATAACGTCGGGGACCAAGTATGTGTCAAAATTAAGCCACAGCGATAAATAAAAGACTACTAAAAAATATATAATTCAGTAATAATAACTTCTTATAATAAAAAAATTATGTGTTTAAATTTTAATAGATTAATTTTATTAAAAATATTAGGTGTCTGAGTTAAATAAATAAATAAAAGACTTATTTGAAGTTAAAGTCATGTTTTCTGCATTAATCATAAGCTCTTAAAAAATAAAAAATAAAAACGAACAAACAAATTTTAAAAACCTCAACGGCTACCTTATAGTTAATTAAGCAGTGAAAAGTTGACCGTGTCCTAACCAGATAGATCTTTGCCCCACTTGTAGGACCCCTTCTGACTTAGGTATAATGGTATGGGACCGTTGCTATATTTGTGATTCTAAGCATTTTCTTTTGTTTTTTTTTTTAATTATTATTGTTGTTGTTGTTATCGTTATTATTATTTTAATGGTGAAAGACCTTGTTTTCTTTTAAATGAGCGATTGTGAGAGTTTAAACAGTCGTACCTAACAATCCTTATACAGTTGAATCAGATGGGTTTATTTGGCTCCATCCTAACAAAACACTGTGTGATTTTGATTTGACGTATCTTAAAAAAGCAGTCGTGTCATATTTACAGTTTCATAAAAATAGAAATAGGATCACCATATGATATTTTATTATCATATGCTTTCTTTTCAAAATTTTCTCTTTGCGAATTGTGTTGCGTTAAAATGATTGGTTTTGAGCACAAAGATTAGGTTGCTTTCTAAATCAAATAAGACAGATAGTTAGTGACACAAAAATTGACCTGGCCATACACAACCAAACTCAAAGTGATAGAATAAAACATTAATTCTGATGATTCAAAATATCTTATTCAACTATTAACAAGAAGACTCATTTAATTTTAGATTTCATGTTTGAGTTATGCCATTAGTAGTGATATGACATATCTGAATCTCGTTGGGTTACGCGTATCAAACTTCCATCATTTAATTTTGTCGGAAGTGGGGTTACCCTCCTCTCTCTTCTCTTGAAATCATCTCTCTTACAAATCTGAAATCTCTAGACTGCAAGGAGTTTTAACACCTTACTTCTCTTACAGAATTGGAGATTCATGGATGTCATAATTTTCAGTTCTTTTCAAAAAAGGATTGATCCTTATATTTTTTTACACTTAAAATTTACGATTTTAAAAAATCTAAAAATTTGTAGACTATAAGTGGTTGCGACACCTAATGTCTTTTTGAGAATTAAAACTTTTGGTTGTGCCCTATGCTTCAGTCCTTTGTGGAAAAGGGATAACCCTTTTTCCTTTCTTCTTTCAAAATCTACAACTGTCATTTGATGGAGGAAAGGTGTGAGAATGAGAAACATGATTATTGGCTAAGGATTTGCCACATTTCACATAGAGATTAATTGTCACAGGATCAACTAATAAAGAAATATGTGAGCCTATTTCTTTATGTACTTAATTGAAGTTTTTGAAAAGGGAGGAAGAAAAAGAAACATGATGATTTTTGTGGCCAAGGAAGAGAGAGGAGGCAGCCATGGTGATAGGAAGAAGAAAAGAAAGAAAAGAAAAAAGAAATAAAAATTGATTTGCACATTAGAGAGTTATCATGTAGAATATTTTTTTGTGATGTGTCACATCAATTGATCGAAAAATTGATCGAATTTCAATAAGAAAGGCCATATGAAAAAAAATTATAGAGTATAAAGAGAGGTTGAATAAAAAAAAAATACAAGAGTCACATTAAGAAAATTAATAGAATAAAAAGACGTTTGATGCAATTAATCTAAATCTAGTTAGTTAAAATCACATAAATATCTTAAAACTTCAATTTCCATATAAAAGCCATAAAATCCCTCTAAATACATATAATACTACGAAGCATTAAAAAAATCACAATTAATCTTGTACTTGTATATATATGAAAAGAAGCCGGTAAAATATTTGTATTTACAAAATCACAATTTAAAGGGAAAAGAAAAACTCAAAAACACTTCACTGATATAGTGTGACTAGCCGCTCTCTCTTTCCACCGCAAACTGTCCACTTGCACGCAGCCCGCCGTCTCCACAAATTCTTAGCTTTCATCGTCGATTTTATCATTTGTAATTAGATCGATCCCATATGAGTACATGCACGAGAAGCAAAAAAAAAAATCCGAATTAACCTTTTCCTTGTATAAATGTAAAAGGAAATTGATAAAACATCTGCATTTATAAAATCACAATTTAAAAGAAAAAAACTGAAAAATACTTCATTTATATACACCTGCCACTCTTCCTTCCCACTAGGAGAGAGCACTATTTATTTTAAATCAAAGCAAAATATCAATTGTAGTTTGATATTTAACTCGTTTTTTTTAAAAAAAAAAAATAACCGAATTTTTTTATTTCATTCTGTTTTTTGAAATTTTTGGTACGGTTTAAACTGTAAACTAATTTTTTTATATTTATTTTTTTGAATTTATTTTAAGTTTTAAAATAATATGAATAAACCAAAAAAATTAATACATTAACATCACTATATATATATATATAACTGATGGATTGATGGTGTTTTTTGTGTATTTATATTATATTAACAAAATTCAAAAAATAAAAATAAAAATTCGGTTTAAATAAAAAAATAAAAAATAAAAGCTGAAATTTTAGTTTTAAACCAAAAAATCAAACAATAATTTGGCTCCAGTTCGGTTTATATTTTTTAGATTTAATTAACCGAAAACGAAACCAAGATTATTAAGAGCCGAATATTCACCCCTATTTTCTACTACAAACTCTCAACTTGTAAGCAGCACGTCATCTTCACAAACTCTCGATCCTTGTTTTCATCGCAGATTTTATCATATGTGATTAGATCGATATATAAGGATACCTAATTAAGAGCACATGCACGAGGAAAAGATAGACACATCCACGATTAACCTTGTTCTCTTCTACATCAACAAGGAATTAGCAAAACACTTGCATTTATAAAATTACAATTTAAAGAAAAAAAAAAAAAACTCAAAAACACTTCACTTGTATAGTATGGCTTGCCACTGTTTCTTTCCACTACACATTCTTTACTTGCATGGATTATACATATATATAAACTCTCGCTTTTTATGCTTATATATCTAGATTCTATGTATGTGATTAGATCAATCCCATATATTTATGCACGAGGAATAAAAAAAACATTCACAGTTAACATTGCCCTTGTATAAATACAAAAAAGAAAAAAGAAAAAAAAGGGTCGAATATTTGCATTTATAAAGTTACAATTTGAAGGATAAAAAACACTCAAAAACACTTCACACTTGTATAGTATGACTTGCCTCTCTCTCTTTTCATTGCATGCTCTTCATTTGCAGGCAGCATGTCGTCTGCACAAACTTTTGTTTTCCATGCTTGTATGCTAAATTTTATTGCATATAATTGGATTGATCCCATACAAATATATGCACGACGAATTAAAAAAAAAAAAAAACTACAGTTAGCCTTGCTCTAGTATAAATACAAAAGGAAATTAGTAGAACATTTACATTTATAAAATTACAATTTAAAGGAAAAAAAAAAGAAAGAAAGAAGAAAAACTCGAAAACATTGTCACTTATATAATATGACTTACAACAATGTCCTTCCATTACAAACTCTCCACTTTCAAATTAAACAAAAAATGCCCCCAAATTAACTATTATAATTTGGTAATTTCAAACCTTTATTACTAATTTAGATTAATTGGATTTCAAATTATTATTTTTTCAGAAAATATAATCCTTACTCGTTATCTTTAACGATTAAAGAGTTAAATGTCAATAGTCAATCCTTTATATGTTAACATTCCACTTTCTTTTTTTAAAGAAATTAGTTAACTTAATCAAAATATGATCTACATAAAATTATACAATGACTATTTGTTAGATTTTAAAATTAACAACACTCATCAATTTTTTTTAAAAGTTACAAATAATCAAATAAAAATAATTAAAGTATATATATATTTAAATAAAAAATAAAAATACAAACTCTTGATTAAAAATAAAATAAAATGTTTATACTCATGTTATGGATAGATTAGCATACTCATGTGTTAATTTAATGGGTATGTCGGCATAAATTCAACATAAATATTGTATTAAAAAAATTAAAAATTTTAACCACAATCTAGTTAATACTAGATTTAAATATTTTATTTTATTTCTAATCTAGTCAATTTGATAGTTATGTCGGTACAAGTTTAACAAAAATACTTAATTAAAAAATTAAAAATTTATATTAATTACAATCTAGTTAATACTATATTGATTTATGTATTTTATTTTATCTACAATCTAGTCAATTTAACGGTTATATCAACATAGATTTAATAGAAATACTTGATTAAAAAAATACTTTTATTTTTATTTAAACAAATGTATTATTAATTTTTCTATTTGATTATTAGTATTTTCAAATTTTTTTTAATCAATGTTATTAATTTTAAAAACTAACAAACAATTACTATAAAATCTCATATTAATCACGTAACCGATAAAGGTCATATTTATAAAAAAAATAGTTTGATATCAAATTAATTCAAATCGATAATAAAATCTAAAATTGTCACATCGGAGTAGTGTGAGACCATTTTAGCCATTGAACCACTTATAAACAGCACAGTGTCTCCACTTTTGCTCTGTGTTTCATCGCCAACTCTTTGTGGTTTTATCACTATCGTTAGATTTTATTGTAATGTGCTTGGATCGATATATGATATAAATCCATTCTTATTCGAATCCATTCTTCTCCACGTGTCGATCCGTAATTGATTAAAACTTCTTTCAATACATGCACTGAAACGGAATCTCTCAATAACTTCGTCCCCTCCTTGTAACAAAACGCTTTTTCTTTTACTCGCGGACTCGCAGCACCAGTAGTACAGAGCCAGCGTTGCCGTCGGCGATTAATTGGTGAAAAAATGGAAAAGTTATTGAAGGATTTTGAAGTGGAACACAAGAATCCATCGGAAGATGCGTTAAGGAAATGGAGACAAGCTGTTACTATTGTCAAAAATCCTCGCCGGCGTTTCCGTATGGTCGCTGATCTCGTTAAACGCGCTGAAGCCGAACGTAAAAAACGCAGCATCCAGGTTTCTTTTCTCCTCAGTTCTCTCTCTCGTTTTTAAGATACTAGTATCTAGTAACAATTTGCCTTTCTTTATTTTTTTAAGATCCAAGAATTTGCTAATTACTTCAAAGGACTGAGAAATGCAAAATTTCTACTGTTTAATTTCTCCCGTTTTCTAGGTAACCAAACAGAAAATTGGGTGAAACAGAAGTCAATTATTTCGAATCTTTTTGTACCTCCTTTTCAGTAATTGCTTCTATTAAAATCTACCATTTTCTACGGTTTCTTTCCTTTTTTACTATCGGTCTTCAGAAGTAAAGGGAGTTTAGCTGATTTTAATCTCTCGAGAAACAAACAGGAAGCTAGGGTTTAGTGCTAAGAATTTGTTACTTTAAGCGTGTTTGGTCTTGTAGTTAGTCCATGACAGAAAGCTAACCTTTCTGTTTTAATTTTCGTACTGGCCGTTGATGGGGGCTGACTATGTAGTTAAAGTGGGCCCTACATTTACAGGCTAGATTTATTTTGCCGAGAAATTATCTAGGGGTCCTGGAATTCCACGTCAGATAAGGACCCCTTCCATTCATCATGTGCCATGTGTAAGTTTTTTTTCCAGATGGGATAAAAAAACCTTTCATCTTCTCCTTCATCCCCTGTCTCTCTCTCACTCCGGCGATTTGCCGTCCAAGTCCTCATTCCTCCCCCGTCTCTCTCTCTCTGTTTGGCTCCTTTTTTCCGTCGTTTCTCTCTCTCTCTGTGGGTATGAAGAATTCATAAAGGATTAACATTCATCTCTAATCATTATCTTCTATCTATCGATCTTCCGCCATAAGTCAATGACTGGAATTTTTGCCACCAATGGCTTGGAGAAAGGGGAGAGGATTTGACTTGGATCATTTTGTTATTCAAGGGATTCTGATTTATCAGTTTGTTCATTTTGATTTGGATAATTGTTGAGGTTTTTGGAGGCTTTGACAGTGAAGTATTCCAGAGAAATCAAAAATAGGGGAGAGATATTTTTTTGATTAAAAAAAAAAGGGCCACTTGCTAATCTGCCAAAATCCCTTGTATAAAATCTAAAAATTTCCTTGCTGCGTGCATCGACGTGAGTGCTTGACCTTTGACGGCCAATCTCCGTTTAAAGCAAAATTTTATAGCTGTCACCCACAACGCGTATTAAGGCTCATCATTCCGATGTTTTCCCTTTTTGGTTGCTATTGCCAATTCCATCGATAGATATTAGCAAGAATTCACATGGCCGTCGGAGTGAGAGAAACGGGGGAGGAATGAAGAGTTGGGCGGCAAGCCGCTGGAGTGAGAGAGAGACGAGGGATGAAGGAAAAGATGAAGGGTTTCTTTTATCCCATCTGGAAAAAAATTTACACATGGCACATGATGAATGGAAAGGATCCTTATCTACGTGGAATTCCAGGACCCCTGTTTTGCCAATGAAATTTCTTCCACGTTGACAGTTATTTGTTCTTTAAATGCTGAGTGGTACTGCCTGACATTTCAGAATCGTGTATCTGAATTTCTTTGCGGTGGTTTTACGTGAGTGCCCTTAATGAAATCAACTTCATCCATGTCAAAAATAAATGGCCACCAAATTTTATAAGATGACTTTTAATTCTTAATTTAGGTAAACTTTTTTTATTATAAAAAAAATTATGGTTTTACGCTCACAGAAAACATAATTTGGATGAATTTTTTAAATCAAAATAAATTATAGAGACCACTTCTTTTATATATATATATATACTGAGAAAGTGCAACTTTTCTTCCATTTTTTTTTCTCAATCGAAAGAGCAATTTTTTTTCCTTTGTTTTTTGTTTTTACAAAAGAAACTTTTTTTCTCTATAAATCTATCAAATGTTTTTTTTTTTTTCGCTCTCCGTTTGGTGGTCCATTCAAAACCCAAAGAGGCAAGAAAGTAAAAAGATTACCTTTATAATTAATTTTTTTTTCTCTCCATTTGGTGGTCCATTCAAAACCCAAAGAGGCAAGAAAGTAAAAAGAGTACCTTTATAATTAAATCTTTTTAAAATGGATTCTTTAATAATAAATTGTTAATATTTGACTTTTTGCATCAAATAAAGGCAAGGGACGAAGTTTCCTAGAAGTTTCGTTTCTGTTCTCATTCCAAAAATATAAAGGCAATAATGTACCTACTGTTGGCTTTAGAATACTTAACCCAGTGGGGGGAATTTTTCTTTTTTCAAATTGCTATGATAACGATGGCATATTTGAATCCTCTGGTAAAGAAGTAAAATAATGGGTTCTCAATCTAATCCTCCCATAGTCTTTGCCCCACTTGCTATTGTCTTTGTTTAAAATCGTTTGCCATTTGTTGCATCGAATCTGCTGCCTTTTAATAATTAAATGGCTGTCTTCACCATTTTTTAAAAAACTTATTTTGGGAGTTAAAGGCTGTTGCGTCCTGAGCTCACCAAATGGACGTTGCATCTAGAATCCTTTATATTGTCATAGAATATTATTATGAACACGGTATAGACACGGCTTGCAGGAATTTTGATAAAATATTATCACCATTTCTTTGTCACATGGTGTGCAACAACAGAGGTTGATGATCTGTTGTTTTCAATTTTTATCAATTTCTTTTTTAATCATAGTTTCTAATTAGTTTACATCATCAACGATGGAATAGCTCTTTAAAATTTGGAAGTAGATCAAATGTTTGTTAGTTGATTTTAAGTGCACTCATCTTTTAGCAAGAAGACCCTTCTGAAAATGGACAGGAGACCCTTATGAAATGGCCATTCTTATATCTTAACAAAGACGCACTAATAAGATGTCCGCTGACCAACTTGCCTGGAAATTGTGATACCGCGAGATCTCCTTTTGATGTGGTCTTTATTAAAGGAGTCAAGCTGTAGCAGTAAAACAAGAAGAAGCCTTTTTTTCTTTTAATGTGAAGATAATATTTTATTGAAACTCGCCCAAGGGATGCAGTCATGATGAGTCAATGTTTTGCATTTCTTTAATTTAGTAGGTTTTAATGTGATTGTTATACAATACGAGTTTAATGTATAACTTCATCCCTTTTGCATAAAATCATATTTACACGCCCTCTATTGGACCCATCAATAACTTGAATGAAATGTGCGCTTTAGTCTTTTACCCTTTAATGATCGTTGGATAATTTTCTGGATACATAGTTGATTCAAGCTATGTTCTTAGCAAGTAGATAAGAATGACATGGCAGGAGTTTTGGTAAACGGAACTCGTTTATACAGACTGCATATCTGTCGTTGCAGGAATTTGTACCTTCTGCAAACATCCACTTAATTCTTTCTAAACCTTCCCTAGCATTGCTCAATCATCTTGTATTAACTTGTGCTTACTGGCCAGTTAGTTGAGTGGATTGATGTCAATTAATATCGTTTCAACTCGTTAGCATATAATGATCAGCATTACAGCTGTCAAACATAATATTGTCACCATGAAGACTCGATAACATTATGAGTTTTTTTTTTTTAATTACAAATGGTGAGAAGATGAACATGTCTTTTTCATTTGAAGGGAGTTCATTACTCATTTAGAAGATGAATTTTGGGTTCATTTCAAATATTGCGTTGCACTGTAACCATGAAAAAAAGCTTGCTGCATTGAGCATGACCATGATGGTTTGTAATTGCACTTTGTATAAGTTCCCTATCTTTGCGGCTGTGACTGACTGGTCATCCTAACTTCTTTCTCTCTCTCTCAACCAGGAAAAGATACGAATTGCTCTTTTTGTCAAAAAAGCAGCTCTGCAGTTCCTAGATGGTATAATGCTTGGAGCTATGACTTCCATGCAGACAAATTGTTTACATCAAATAAATATTTATCCTTTTCTCTCTTCATTTCTGTTGGACAGCTGGAGCTTCCGCTGAAAATGCTACCGGTCAACCTGAATACAAGATTTCAGATGAGGTTAAAGAAGCAGGTTTTGGAATTGATCCAGACGAACTCGCATCCCTTGTTCGTGAGCATGATATGAAGGGTTTGCAAACAATTGGTGGAGTTGATGGGATTGCAGAGAAAGTCTCTGTCTTGCTCGAAGAAGGTGTTCGCACAAGTGATATATCAACCAGACAAAAGATTTATGGATGCAACCATTACACAGAGAAACCTCCTAGGAGTTTTTTGATGTTTGTGTGGGAAGCACTGCATGACTTGACATTAATTATCCTTATGATATGTGCTTTGGTCTCTATAGGTGTAGGAATTGGTACTGAAGGGTGGCCAAAGGGCATGTATGATGGGCTGGGAATCATACTTAGTATATTGTTGGTAGTCATGGTTACTGCTATAAGTGATTATAATCAATCCTTACAATTTAGGGACTTGGATAGGGAAAAGAAAAAGATTTCTATTCAGGTGACAAGAGATGGACGAAAACAAGAGATCTCCATTTATGACTTGGTTATTGGAGATGTTGTCCAATTATCTATTGGAGACATAGTTCCAGCTGATGGGATTTACATATCAGGATACAGCTTGGTGATTGATGAGTCAAGCTTATCTGGGGAGAGCGAACCAGTGAGTGTATGCCAAAATAAACCTTTTCTTCTTTCAGGAACTAGAGTGGAGGATGGGTCGGGAAAGATGATAGTGACTGCAGTTGGTATGAGGACTGAATGGGGAAAGCTGATGGAAACTCTTAATGAGGGTGGAGTAGACGAGACCCCACTTCAGGTGAAGTTGAATGGGGTTGCTACAATTATTGGAAAGATTGGTTTGGGTTTTGCCGTGCTTACATTTGTGGTATTAACTGTTAGGTTTCTGGTGGAAAAAGCGCTTCATAAGGAGTTCACAGATTGGTCTTCAAGTGATGCATTGACACTTCTTAACTACTTTGCTATTGGAGTAACCATAATTGTTGTTGCTGTTCCTGAAGGATTACCGTTGGCAGTAACTTTGAGTCTTGCCTTTGCAATGAAGAAACTAATGAATGAGAAGGCACTTGTCAGGCACCTCTCTGCTTGTGAGACAATGGGTTCTGCTAATTGCATTTGCACTGATAAGACAGGAACGTTAACCACAAACCACATGGGAGTTGATAAGATATGGATCTGTGAAAAAACTCAAGAAATTAGACACCGTGAAGGCATGTTAGAGATGCGAATATCTGAAGGTGTATTAAGCCTCCTGTTTCAGGTTATATTTCAAAATACTGCTTGTGAAACAACTAAAGATGAAAGTGGTAAGAACAAGATTTTGGGAACACCGACAGAGAAAGCACTCTTTGAATTTGGCTTGCTTTTGGGTGGTGACTTTGATGCACAACGGAAAGAGTTTCATATACTCAAGGTTGAGCCTTTCAATTCAGTGAGGAAGAAGATGTCCGTGCTGGTGGCACTTCCTGGTGGGGGGCTACGAGCTTTCTGCAAAGGTGCATCAGAAATTGTATTAAAAATGTGTGACAAGATTCTTGATGACAGTGGAAAATCTATCTCTCTTTCTGAAGAACAGATATTAAACATATCAGATGTTATAAATGGCTTTGCCTCTGAAGCTCTGAGAACTCTATGCTTGACTTTTAAAGATCTAGATGACTCTGCTTATGAAGGCAGCATCCCTGATTTTGGCCACACGTTGGTAGCAGTTGTTGGAATCAAGGATCCAGTGCGTCCTGGTGTCAAAGATGCTGTTCAGAGTTGTCTGGCAGCTGGCATAACTGTTCGTATGGTAACTGGCGATAATATAAATACGGCCAAAGCTATAGCCAAAGAATGCGGAATACTTACTGAGGATGGTGTGGCCATAGAAGGACCGGAGTTTTGTACCATGAATCCTCAGCAGATGAGGGAAATCATTCCCAAACTTCAGGTTTTTGAATGACTGCATCGTAAAATTTGACTCTTTACGCACATCCATTCTACTATGCATAATTTTGTTTGTTGCTTTTCTCGGAAACAGGTAATGGCTCGGTCTTTACCTTTGGATAAGCACACCTTGGTAACCAATTTGAGGAATATGTTCAAAGATGTGGTAGCAGTAACTGGTGATGGGACCAATGATGCTCCTGCATTGCATGAGGCTGACATTGGACTTGCTATGGGCATAGCAGGAACAGAGGTCTGTCTTCCTGTAAAAATATTTTCATATCATTGATTCTGATGAGTTTAGAAATGTATTCTTCTTCTTTTGCTAGTTTCACTTCCTAGTAATTATTTTCATTCGTGCCATAATTATTATTATCCGCTCCCCCTGGTTGATATATAAATATGTGTGTCAGTGTGTGTGTATTTATCTGAGCACAATTTCTTATTTTCACAATATTTTCATTTTGTTCTTCATATTTGCTTACAAGCAATAAAAATGCTTGCTCACAAGCCTCCACACCAATTACTTACTCACTGGCTTCCACTTCAATCAGTAAGTGTCAGTGTCGTTACCATTATTCTTTGCTTATCTAATATAATTTACTATTGCCCTTTTCAATTGCGTTTTGCAGCACATTGTATCTCTGACATGTATCATCCTAAATACTCTTGAAATAAGAGTCCTAGATTTTAAACCCAAGAAAAGAAAATATGGCATAGGTTTGAACCTTTTTCTCCCTTTTAAACTTTTTTCCATGTCAAGAAGTGTCATAGGGAATCGATCGGTATAAGAAGAGACTTTTTTTTTATTATTCATTTTTCCTTCCTATCATAGCTTGGTGTTTGTTGTTCTTGTTTCTGTTAATGACCAAAAACCTGATTAGCTTTTGGTAGGACTAATTTGTGAAAAAAACGTGTTCCAATATTTTTATTCGAACTTCCACTTGTTTTGGGACATTTGTTGAAAACCATACTTGAGGCTTATCCCTCAATCTGCCTTCAAGGAAAGATCTCATCTAATCAACTAAAGACCCGTCTCCTTAAACCAACCTGTCGTCTTTTATGTTTTCACAACCCCATGTTTTCATGGAGCCGTGTTAGGGATTAAGTTCTTTTCTATCTTTTGCAAAACTGAAAATGATGTACAAGCAAATTTGTTGATTCTAGTTTAGGCATCAGTTCTAATCACCTTTAGTTAGTCTGAAATAGTATAAAACATAATTTTTAAATTTTTTTAACGCATCTGTTCCCCTTGTAACCATGCAGCTTAAAGTGGACTTTACCAGCCTCATTTTTATACCCAAGTGAAGTTGTCTTGAGTGTCTATTTTTTTGTTCCTTTTCTTCTTTAATCTTAAACAAGATTATTTCCTTGACATTGAACTACTCTCTTATGTAATCTTAAGAGATTTGGGATTTTTGAGCCATTATTGCTTCTAATTAGCAATCTTGATAACATTTTTTTTAAAGAAAACATTTGTCTGTTCTAATTCTGACATCTGCAGTTGAAAGATGATAAGAGAACTCCTTTATGTATAGTGATTGGTTCACAAGAGCCACTAAGATTGAAAACTAAGTTCGTTAAAAATATCATCATATTATATTCTTAAAGTGTATCCAGCAATTTACGGAGCTGATGCATAGTTTTGTATGACAGTTCCCTGAAATTGGAATTGCATCAATGATATCTGATATTCTGCTAAATACAGTCACCTCATGTTTTTGTGCCATGTGCAGGTTGCAAAAGAAAATGCTGATATCATCATAATGGATGACAATTTTAGGACCATTGTAAATGTTGCTAAATGGGGTCGCGCAGTCTACATAAACATTCAAAAGTTTGTGCAATTCCAGCTAACAGTTAATGTCGTTGCTCTTGTAATTAATTTTGTCTCTGCATGCATCACAGGTGCGGTGGTTTGTGACTCAAGTCTTTTTCATCTTTAAACATCATTATGACTTATGTTGTCTTCCTCTTTATCTTCAAATTTCAGGATCTGCTCCCCTGACTGCTGTGCAGTTGCTTTGGGTTAACATGATTATGGACACGCTTGGGGCATTGGCGCTGGCTACAGAACCTCCAAATGATGGGCTGATGAAAAGGTCTCCTGTAGGGAGGGGTGCAAGTTTCATTACAAAGACCATGTGGAGGAATATATTTGGTCAGAGTATCTATCAACTGGCTATCCTTGCAGTTCTCCAATTTGATGGGAAGCGCCTATTAGGAGTTAGTGGCCCAAATGCTTCCAAGATTGTCAATACTGTGATATTCAACACTTTTGTGTTTTGCCAGGTATGGAGTTGTCGGATTAAGCCTCCTACTTTCATCGAGTATTCTTCTTTCATGTTTTTTTTTTTTTAGTATATTTATTGTTTGGTTATAAAATGATCAATAGACCACTGTAAACTTACTAGTTTTCGACAGTAAACCAAATTTTTTTTTCCTTGGGTTACTGAGTGAAACCATGTTGTGCTGAGAGCGTATTGACATTTCTGTCCTTGGAAGCCAATGTTTTGAGTTCCTAAGCTGTCAATCTCTCCATGATCTAGTATTCTTCGTATTGTCATAGTGGCAAATGTCAGGCAGTTGTTCCTGATATTTCTTCTGTTTAAATTCTTTGAGGGCATTCATGCATTTATCTTCAAGTCCATTCCCTCTTTCTTTCTTTTTCTTTTTCTTTTTGTTTCCCTAAAAAAAGCCTCCTAGTCCATAGGATCTTGGTGGAATAAAATTATCTAATATATGTTAATTCACTATTGTTCTCTTTCAGGTGTTCAATGAGATAAACAGCCGTGATATGGAGAAGATAAACGTATTCCGGGGCATGTTCAGCAGCTGGATGTTCATAGGCGTTATTGTTATAACAGTAGTATTCCAAGCAATCATAGTCGAGTTCCTGGGAACTTTTGCAAGCACTGTGCCCTTAAGCTGGCAAATGTGGCTCTTCTGCGTCTTAATTGGAGCTGTTAGCTTGCCTATTGCCGTTGTCATAAAGTGCATCCCTGTTGAAAGAGAAAATCCTAAGCACCATGATGGTTATGATGCCCTTCCCTCCGGCTCAGACCTGGCTTAAGAAGGAATAACTTTCGTTCTCTTCTTTTTTTCGGAAAGGAAAAGGAGAAAAAAATACCACGCGGATAGTTGACATGTAGGACGAGGACAGGTCTTTCATTTTGTTTTCCTCCTTTTGAATAGTGTGAAGGAAAGAAATTTTACTAGGCTAGTTACTGATTTACTGCAAAAAATGCAGTCAATCATATGAACACACATTAATGGCTTTTTCAATCGGAAAAATTCCAGCAGCTCTTTTGTTCAATACCAGCTTTTCATTCGTTCGATATCATTACCATGGGAATTATGAACATTGTTGCTTGAGTTTATAATTTTGGATCAAAGAGAGGTAAAGAGCAAAGCAAGAAGTCAGCCTACCATCTTTCGTGAATTATTATTATTAATTTATCGTAATCTTGTGTGAATTATTAATCCCTTGATAAATGTCACAGTAAACAGAACAAAATGTTGGGGTTCCAACTTCCATGCGTCACAGATCCAGCATTCCAAACTGAAAGGGGGGCTCCCTTCCAATTCTTCCTCCTGTTTCATCACTCGAGGAAAAAACTAATGTAATGATGAAAACTACTGAATTTCTTACCCAAATAAATGAGAACATAATCGAATACGATGGCGTCTGTGCTTTGTATACATCATAAATACAGCACAATAATGCATCTCTCTCTATGAAGAAAATATTTTTATCCCGTACAGCTTCACTAATCTCTCCATGAAGACAAACAATAATAATCCGGGTAAATAATTCATCTAAATCTTCTCTTTGCTTCTCCATAAGCAACTACCCCAAGAACAGTCATTGAATACCCAGCGATACCCACAAATGTCACAGGATTCCTGAAGATGAAAATTGAGATAACAACAGCCACAGCACCTTTCGCATTGCCTAACACCTGATGGTAACGTTCCAAAGGAGAAAACAAAAGGGTTCAGAATCATTGCAAACTGACCCAATTACAAATGCCAGTATTTGATTTATTTTGTGCGGTTGCCTTTTAAAAATTTGTCAATCAAGGATGGGTTTCCTAACGCAACCAAATATTCTGAAATTATGGTCATTCCGTTTCTATAGCTATAGAAGGTAATAAAGATTATTCTGAAATTATGACCAAAACAAAAGTGTCATTCTGTTTCTATAGCTATAAAAGGTAATAAAGATTTCAGTATGCTAGTGACGACTGGACATCAGTGTCATTGCTGGAAAAAATTCACAAGAAATTATTTCAGCAATAAGCAATAAAACCACCCTGAAATTCATACCAATAATTAACAACAAAGAACATATTAAAATGCCAAACAATTCCAAACCTGGAGTGTCAGTGCACTTGTATGCTTGGTTACCAAGAAGTTTGTCAAGTTAGCTGAGTAGGCCATTGTTGAATTGAGGATAAGTAGCAGCCACATATACTTATGTTTCTTTCCAAGTTCTAAAGTAACTTCTAATACATTCGGCTCCATTGTAAGTGCTGCAGGCAATAATACCAAAACAGCAATCGGAGACATATACAACAGCAAATTCATCGAGTTCAACTTTTCTCTGCAAGACAAGAGAATTAGACAATCAGGCTTCCATACGTACATGTGTAACTTACAATCAAAGGATTTCAATAAATCCTTTTCATTCTAATCTATCCTCCCCAAAAAAAAAACCTAGTGCACCCGAATATGTTTACCTTCTCTATAACAATAACGCCTCCCCAAAAAGAGGAACAGTTAACCGTTTTGTTTTCATCCACCTCCCCAAAAAGAAAAATCTAGTGCTAACAGGCACACGCACACACACACATACAAAAAAAAAAAAGGATACCGTTCCAACAAAACTAATCATCCACCTCTCAAAAAGAATTATCCAGTACCAACACACAGAAAAAAAAAATGCAAGAATTATGCCTTCGTACTAGTACATTTACCAAAAGAAAAAATTGACATAATGTAAGAGGGCTCGCATACATTATTATTCAACTAGGATAATATAACACAGAAAAGACTAAGAAGAGCAGTTCTCTCTTTAATGATCCAAAATGGAAGATGCAAAATTTGAACAAATTGTAGACAAATAACTTTTTTAATCAATTTATATATAAACTAAAACAAGGAAAAACATTCCTTAATTCTCAAATAAAAACACATAAAAGAAAACCAAATAAAAGGCATTCCTTGAATATGACCAGATGAACGAAGCATTTACCCTTCAGAAGAAAGCAGGATGCCCTGAAGAACAGACTTGAAGGCCCTGGCAGCAGTTGCACTTATGCACATAATGAAGCCAAACAAATGAAAACCTGGCTCACCCTGTCATCAACAGAAAACTTCAAAGCTTAGAGCTTCACTGGAATTAGGAGATAATAGAAGAAATCAATATTGCACTCAGTCTAGTACATAAAACTAACTTAAGACATAACGGTATAGAACAGGCAAAGAATGCGAAGTTGCAACTAGATGACAAAACATAACAAGAATTGAACCATTGATGAACCATAGCAAGCAGTTGACCATTATAGTATTTTATATGGTAACGAGTAGGTTAGCTAGACACATAAAACTATTAGCAGCTGAATCTCCTATTGCTCCAGCAGAAACTGGGTTACTCTCACAGATATTAATGTGAAAACCACCAATCGAGGTAACCATAGTACGCTTCAGATTTGCGCCAATGAGAATCAGTATTCTTGCTGTTACAAACTTCCTTAGTCCAGAAAGTAATTACAGTTCTAAGAAATGCATATTGGCTTTATGACCCACCATTTTCTAACCGAACGAAAAAAAAAAAAGAGAAAAAGATCTGCTTATCACACGTGACATCTGAGATCAGAACATATACTTGGCACAATAGCAAGCATAAATTATCATACACAAACACGATTAAACAGGATCCTAGATCTGCATTATCATTATCGATTGGTATGTGCTTTGAATAAAAAAAAATCAATCTCAAAACTCAAAATCAACAAACAGAAAAAAGTTTCAGAAAAACCTGGAAAACAAAAACAAATGTCCATAATTCTAAAACCAAGTGAAGATCTAAAGAAAATAACTTACCCCACTGGCAATAATAACACCAACAACAACAGGCACAAGAGCTCCATAAGTTACCCACGCTTCCCTCTTCAAAGTTATCAAGTAGGCAAAAACAGCAGTGAAAAAAGGTGTAGTAGCCCCAACAGCCTGGTTAAACGACACAGGCAAATACCTCAAAGAAATATTGCCACCAACAACAGACCCACAAAAAACCACACTCAATGTTGCAATCTTTAACAACTGGGTTCTTGATTTAACAGCTTGCAAAGGCACAATCTTGAAGAAAACAATAGATAAGTAACTAAGTATAGCACAAGCTGACATGTGGCACATTGTTAGAAAGATTGGAAATCTAAAGCCATAGTTTGATAATAAGAACTTGTTTAAAAGCAAAACACCAATGTTTGATGAGTACCAAAGGGTTACAAGACCACCTACGAAAAGGGCTTGTTTCTTGGATGACGACATTGTAGGGTTTTTGCTTAGTTTTGTAAAGGGTGATCTGTGTATCTCATTTGAGCTTCATCAATGGCAGTTTTGGGTGTTTTGTCTTATTGTTTATTTATTTATTTGATGAGGTGGGTTTTTGTATCTTTGTTTTTAGAGATACGTGGGAGGGAGTGTGTGTGTGTGTGTCAAAAGTGCTAATAGAGTTTGGTGTCTCGAAGTTTAATGATCGAATGTTGAAGGAAGATAATTGGAATATTGTAATGCATACTAACCATCTTCTTGTAACCAAATTTCAACCACCTAGCCTACAAATTTTTTAATTTATGGTGGTAAAAATTATTCTATTGTTGAATTCTTAAGTTTTATCGTGAGTAGGTTTGATGACAACTAGTTCTTAATATTTTTGGTGAAAATATTTTAAATTTAGCCTATATTGGTATGGGAGCTTGAGCTTGTTTACTTATTTTATATTTATTTAACTATAAAATTTTAACAACTTTAAAAAAAGAAAAAGGTGGCTTTAAAATATAAGATGAGAAAGGTTAGGGGAAAAAAATTCAAAATAATGAAAATTTATGTTGGTTGTTGTTGTCATCCAATTTTAGACTTTTATGTTTTACAAATTTTTCTTAAAAAAAAATGAAAATGCAAAAAAAAAAAAAATGAATAAAAGAAAAAAAGAAGATGAAGATAGGTGGAAATTAGGAGTTTTAGCTTATTAATTAAGTATGAGAAATTGGATAAACAAAATTGGATTAGGTGTTCAATTAAAAAAAACATACCACTTGAAAATACAAAGAAAAAAGGAAAGAAAGAGAGATATGCAAAATGTGAAAAGAAAGAAAAAGGATGAGATTAATGTCAAAAATTCCTAAAACCCTAACTAACATTTGGTATAAAAACTATATTTGTCTCTCACAAGAAAGAAGAGGCCATCCATTCATCTTTTTTTTTTTTTTCCAACAAGAAACTTAGTGAGAGAAAACTCTCTTTTTATCATCCTATCAAGAAGGAAGAGTTTCTATAGCAAATCAAAGCTCAAAATTTCCACTTTTCCTCCTTCATAAGTCACCGCCCCTCTTTACTTCTCCTTTTTTTTTCTTTTTTTTTTTTTTGCAGCCTCAACACCTTTATTACCTTCTCCATTGAAGTCGCCATTTTCCATACCTAAAACTCTCTTAAAAACTCCTTCAAAACAACCATAAAACCCCTCCAAAAAACAACCCTAAAACCTTCTCTAAACCTTCGACCAAAGCACATCCTCCTCTCCTCTTTCAAAAAATCTATCGTCTAATGTCTATTCTCTAATCATCTTTCTCCAACTTTCGACCCTCAAAATAATAACTAAAACCCAACATAACGAATCCCTTAAAACTCCCTTAAGATAACAACCAGAACCCTCAACAAAATATCCTTAAACCTCCTCGAAAGCCGTCTGCTAAAGCTCTCCTCCTCTCCCTCAAGATAGCAACCAAACCTACCATAAAAACCCTTTAAAGCTATTGTGAAACCTCCTTGAAAGACTATCCAAATCTGATGTGACATCAACTCCTTAATAGTGTTGTTATCACCATTGTAGCCTTTATGTTGTCCTTAAAAGACCAACCATAACTTCTTCTTCTACAAAAAGTGTTTAGTAGTAGGTTGGCCGTAACCCCCATAAAAACCTTTATCCATAATGCGACGTGTATTAGAATAATTCTATATATATGTATATTAAGAGTAAGTATAATTCTCATTTCATCATGAGAAATTAATGCTTGAAATATGTGATTTATGTTAAATTAAAGTTATTGTGCTTAAGATTAATGATTTAATTATTAAAGAAATCAAATATGCAAAATCAGTGTTTTAAGGACTATATTCTGCCCGAGTTTTGTGTGAATTATTTGAGAACTTTAGAGTAATTTTTGGGTCAACCTTAAAGAATGAAAGTTGTTCATCTATGTGTTTAATATGCATGTATAAAATTTTATAATATTTGGACTTATAAATTAAGAGTTATACCAATTATAGGGAGGATTGTTTCGAAATGCATTCTGCTGGAATTTTGAGAGAAGAATCTGCCTGAATCTTGTGAGATTTATTTGATGCTGTTAGAATGATTTTTGAGAAAAACGTAAAGAATAAAAGTTGTTTGTCTATGTTTTTACTAGCTCTATATAAAATTTCATAAATGTTGGATACATATAGAAAGAGTTATGCACATTTTAGTATATATGGGTTAAGAGGAAACACTGCTGGAATTTTGGAGGGAAAAGAAATTCCAAATTTTAAAAATGGAATTTCTGAATTATTGATGAAAGAAATTTGTCTAATTACATTAACCCAGCTTACTAATGTTTTTTTTATTTATCCTAACTTTTCTTTAGCCACCTAAACACTTGAATTAAATGCTTAGAAGCCAAATCATCACCTTTGACTTCCAAAACATGCCAGCTTTGCCTTCCAAGCTTCCTCCACTTTACATTTGGCCTAATTAAATTTTAACACTTATGATATAAATAAATGTGAGGATAAAAGGTGAGTATATAAGGGAAAGAGAGGGTTAAATGGATGCCATTTTTAGGTCAAAAATCGTAGCCATCCAGAATTCAAAAGAGAAGCCAAATTGAAGAGAGAAAAACAGCAAAAAGAGAGAAAGAAAGAAAAGAGAAAGAAAAGGGAAAAAGGAAAGAAAAAGAGCTAAAGAAATTCTAATCAAACTTAAAAAGAGGTAAGTAGGTTTCATTTATTTTGGTTGATTAATGTCTTAAATTATTTTTTTAAAGTTATTTTGTTAGTGTTTATTTCATGGGTTGTAATAATTTTCAATGGTTATATGCTTGATGCTTAGAATAAATCTATGTATGGATGCCTTGTTGTGATGATTTATGATGTTTATGTTGCTTTGAAAATGTCCAAGTATGTGGTGATGGGTTGGATTGAACTTGGACCAAATTTAAGTGAACTAAAACATGTTTAAAGTTGGATTGGAATGAACTAATAAATTAGTGTTAATAAGGAGTCAATTCTGTCCGAATTTTGGGGTGTATATTCAAGGATTTTAGATCGATTTCTAGGTGAAACTTAAAGCATAAAAGTTGTTCATCTATGTTTAAACTAACTCCCTTTAAAATTTCTTGGTCATTGGATTCGTGTACAAGGAGTTATACCCGATTTAGTATGGATAGCTCTAGATAAACCACTATTAGGCAGATTGCTCCCTAAGTTTCAAAAATTTATAATTAATTGTGTAATTGGTATTTAGACCTAATTTTTGGATATGTTATAAATAAATATGTCTAGTATCTAAAATAAAATAAGTAAGATTTAATTATTTTTTGAAATTAGAAAATTATTTACTCGATTAGGAGTTGCCCGGTAATAAACCCTAAAACAAAAAAAATAGACTTGGACAAAATTAATAGGTTTGGAATAAACTAAATGAGCTTGGACTAAATAAAATGGAATTAAATAGAGTCAATGGGCCTAGGATAAATTTAATGGGCTCGAATTAAAGTAAATGGACGTGGACCTTCTTTTAAATATTAATGAAACTAATGAACAATATTAATGAGCGAGAGATTGTGTTCCCGCTGTGGGTATCCGGATTGGTATGTGAGAAATGAATAAATTTCGAGTGTGGGTTGGACCATGAGTATGGCATGAGAATGAAGGGTTGGTACCCGAATTTGGTTGAATGTGATTAAATATGTCATCACGTGCATTATGTGCATAGTGGGTGGTTTAAGACAAGTCAATTGATTGAAAATGGTTTATACATCTAGGTTTGATAACTTAAGCTGGAATAAATGGGTATTAGTAGTCCATTACTCTAGGATGTGTGCTCGCACTATTAGACGATCGATTTCCGCTAATAGTAGTTACAACGAGGGATAATTCCGTTGTAGCGAGAAGATGATCCGAGGATCATCCGGATGAAATCAAGCGTGATGCTTACTCGTTAGACGATGGATTCTCGCTAACGGTAGTTACAATGAGGGATAATTCCGTTACAGCGAAGGTGATCCGCGGACCACCCGGATGATAAATAGAGTAGATCGGCTAATACCCGTGGTACCCGAGATTAAAATTTACGAGTATGGTGGGAAGTCAAAACAACATTGCATATCACGTGCATCACCCCGCTTACCGAGCTTCGGCTCACCCCGTTGTTATTTTTTATGTCTTGACGGAAAAATGACGAGTTGGTACGGATGCGGCTAGCTCCTCCTAACCGGCTCATGTGAGGCACTATTTATTAGTTTTTATTTTGTCCGTAAATTTGGGGTATGGAGTTTGTGAGAAATTGAATATCGCCCGTAATATTTTATTAATGTATTTAATTATGTTATGTAAATTTTATCTTAAGGAGTTATATACGTAATGTACTCGTTAAAGTCCTAAGAATATCATAAGAAAACTACTTAGAGTTTAGGGTATGTCGGCGTAACGTGCTTCGTCCAGTACTCTACTTGGGTAGTAGAAATATGACTGGGGCGGGGGCATTACATTGGCTCTCCTCCAAAAGTGTTATTCATTAACAAAACTCATTAAAATCAGCTAAAAATCACCTCAAACCAAATCCATATTTCTATTATTGGCAAATTGATCTTCGCGAGAAAGATCGAAAAATTTTACCTTTTTAGAAGTCTAGAATAAAAAAGAGACCTTCTTAGAATTTCAAGTAGACATATTAAGCTTTTCAAATTGAGTAAAAATGTAGAAATCTATCTATTTTGACTATGTTAGGTGCAAAATCAAGTCGAAATTCAAATCTCATGAAAATCTAGAATACCGCTTAGTGTTTGGCCTATATATAGAGTTATACAAATTAGATTGCGATGATTCAAAATAAGACATCTAAAACTACAATCTTTATAAAGAGTGCAAGAACAAAAAAAGCTTTCATCTACTCTTAAATCGATCAAAAGATACTATCATGGATAGTAGTGCCGGATAGCCCTATCTCACTATAACAACTCCTTTTAGCCTAAGACAACAACTCTTCCTTGGCGCTTCATTTTCTAGTAGCT